TTTTTTTTTTTTTGGTTCTCTAATTGTATTTATTTCCTGGAGCATTTATTTTTATTAATGTTTATTTTTGAGAGAGTGGGGGAAAGAGGGGACAGAGAGAGAGGAGCCAGAGGATCCAAAGCAGGCCCCGCGCTGACAGCAGAGAGCCTGATGTGAATTCCAGCTTGAGAACTGTGAGATCGTGACCTGAGCCGAAGTTGGATGCTTAACTATCTGAGCCACCCAGGCACCCCTTCCCTGGGACATTTACTTTGTCAATTTCCCATTCTTTCTCTTTCTCTACACATTCCCTCACCAGCAAGCATTATATCTCAAATTGTCTATACAGCTCTCTTGTCCATTTTTAAACCAACACCAACAATCTCCAATAAATCCCCAAAGCTGGCAACTTATACACGTTGCACATTTTATACATCTTCTTGCGTTTTACAGGACCTTCCATTCTCTTCCTCACCTCCTAAACCCATGTGCTGGTTATTTTGTTAGTTTTACTTTTTTTAATATACTGTTAAATCAGGACTCCTTTTAATGTCTCAAATATCTCCCTTTTTCCCTTGAAGGCAAGGAAAACTCTCTGAATCATTGAAGTCCTGAGAAGCTCAGTTTTTAAACCAAGACTATTTAAATATCCTTCTTTCTAGATTTTCCTCCAACAGTTTTTCATTTTCTTCCCTTTAGGTTTTGTTTTGTTTTTGTCTTAGAGAGAGAGAGAACATGTGAGCAAGGAAGAGGGGCAGACAGAGAGAGAGAGAATCTTAAGCAGACTCCACACTCAGCATGGAGCCCAATGCAAGGCTCGATCCCATGACCCTGGGATCATGACTTGACCCGAACTCAAAGAGACACACACTCAACCAGCTGAGCCACCTAGGTGCTCCCCTTTTGAAACAAGAAATGTAAATGAATTGAAAGCCCAGTGGATCAAAAATAAGGAGAAATGGATTCAATTAAATAAGTGGTTTACATTATCTGGCTGGCAGGTGTAGAAAAAAATTACTTGACTTGGTTTAATTATCTCTAATATATGAAGATAACATGCAAAAAAAAAGTCTATAGGAACGCTTCTACGATGTTACTAAATAATTTATTATCCATTTTCCAGATCACATCACTGTCTTCTAATCATACAGGAACTCAAAAGAAGCACCAATCGTTGACAAGTGTCCAGTTTGAATGTGTGCAGTTGAACATGTGTTCCGCCCCATTCTCCTTTGCTTTTCTCATCTCTCCACTGACCACGTGCTCCTCTTGTTTCAAGGCCATCTGCTTCATTCACATTCACAGATCCCCCGGAGCCCTAGTGTGCCCTTTGTTTTAGCTGTCCCTTGTCTTCTTACCTCACTCACACAGTGAGGTACCAACATCCATTCAATTAGAAAACACAGTTTTAGACTCTGTTGAAGCGAAAGCTTCACCAAAGTTAAACAGACTAGGAAAACCTGATTCAAGGTTATTCATTTTGCACTTCACTCTGCTGAAACAAAGAACAGAAAAATTTTTAGAGCTGGGATGAGGGAGAGATAGTAGGCCCTATGTGTTTGCTAGCTGGATTTATACAAAGGAAAAGACAACTTTCTCCTATCTTCAAACAGCAGGTAGTTGTATAAGTTAGAGCAAGGCACCCACCAAATTTAGGTTCCTCCTCTCCCACAGAAACTGGGAGCTGGGAGTGCTAGCTTCCTTGATGATTAGATTACATTTCAAAGATATGCTGCTAGGTCTTTGAGAAATACAGTGCTGGGTTATAAAACTGGCTAGTTGGCTTTAAAAAGATTTTTAACACAAAGGGGCAAAGAAAGCATTGTAATTCCAAGTTTTCTAAAGTAAATGCTCTATGAAAGGAGCTCAGGGCCTAGGAACAGGAGAAAGACTGAAGTTAGGCAAGCTAAGGACAATTTTAAGGCAGACGTGGTTACTTCATTGTATCCGTGGCTGCATCCAGGAATAAATATCCATGAAGTTAAAGGCACTGGATTAATATGGCCTTAGCTTTAATTGTAACTGTCTCCTAATTCAACGGTCATGTATTCCCTGGAATAAGCTCATTCAACTTCTAAGCCATAACTACTTGGGTGCCTTCTTGGATCACTGCCTGGGCTGGGCTGAGCACCAGGATAATCCTTGCATTATAATTCAATTCAGTACAACTGTCAAGGGAAAACAGTGTTAATTACACTTTCAAAAAAAGAAAAAACCTTCGAGTCTTCGAGTCAACATTATTCTAAATAGAAATTTGTCTTCTCTCTATTTTTATGAATTTCTACATACTCCTGGAAGGTTTTTTTCCCCCCTAAATAAAACTTGACTTCAATTGTTCCTATTCTAAGATACTGGCATCGGAAAATTAAGTTAAAGTGGAACATAGGGACATATGGTGTGAAAGACTCACAGATGTACAAGTGTAGAGCCAGTTTGGTTCAATGTAGCGAATGGCGAACTTAGTTACTTGTTGTGCCAGATTTTAAATATATGCATTGGGCAATGTCGTCTCTTCACTCATTAAGATAGACCTTTCCATTGACACAGTCATCTAGCTCTTGGGGCACAGATTCAGTGGACGTACATCTGGTCACCCATCCAACTGTTTGCACAACCACCCACATCTTTGCAGCCCAGCTCTCTGAAAAGGAGCAGCCGTCTAATGGGAAGACTCAGGAGTGCACTGACTGATGATAGCCTTCTAGCTTCAGCCTAGCACATGGAGGTGGCTGTGTGTCTGATGTCAAAGCCACGAAAGGAAAGAAATCAAAAAGTTTTATTCCCAGGTCTTGTTCAGAAAAATGAGACCTCGATACTTACTGTTCTCCAATATGTGATATTTTCTCCTCACTTCATGTCTTTCCGCAGTCACATCTGTTGGACCAGCACTGCTGTGGATCTCTCGTTGCGTTGTGCTGTTTTGCTGAAATTTTTCCACCTGGAGTGGAATTTGTCAATTTCAACTGACAATTTTACTCGAAAACATCATTCCTTCATTTATTTATTTATTTATTTCCTTAGGATTTTATTTATTTATTTTTAATTTAAGTATAAAATTTGTTGTCAAATTTATTGTTTCCATACAACACCCAGTGCTCATCCCAACAGGTG